CCGCCCCCGCCCCGCCCGCACACGGGATAGGCAGCTACAGCACGCACCCGGGCATACACGCGCCTCACGCTCGCGCAGCCTCGGTCAGCCCATTCTCCCTGTTCTCGCATTCTGAACAGTTTCACTGACATACACTTCATCCGTTTAGATCTCGAGCCCGGCGGACCCGGCGCTCCTGATGTTCAAACTGAACAAGCTGCACGCCTCGCAGTCCGCCTCGCGTGCCGACTCACCGTCTGAAGCGTCGGCGCCCTCGCCCGCACTGAACCAGGCGTTCGCGTTCCCGCCGCCCGGCCAGTACCCGCCGCCGCCACAAGTTGCGTCCGATTCGGAGGGGATCTCGCCGGCCAGTCCTGCGATAAACGGACTTGGTGCGAGTGGACGGCATGGGTATAGCCAGAGCATGGGAGTTGGAAGTGGGCGGTATAATCCGTTCGGCCCGCAAGCCGTCCTAGGCGGCGACGACTCCTCTCTCTCTTCTGCGCACCCCTCCTCGCTCCACCCCCACCCCTCCCAAATAACACCCGGCACCAAGTCGATGCCGGGCACATTCGGCCACGCCCAGGCTGCGAGTTTGTCAGCGCAGATGGAGCGCGCGGCGAGCGTGCCGGATTTCATGCGCGGCTTTGGGGTCGATATTCCGGAGGAGGAGGAGCCGGTTGAGGAGGGGTTTTCGTTCGGCGCGGTGGAGCGCGAAGGTGTGGCCGCCGACGGCATCATGGACGGAGAGGGAGAGGATGGGGAGGGGGAGGGCGTGCAGAGCGCTATGGACGGCCTCCTCGGCCGCGATACAGATGTCGAAGATGGCGAGGAAGGCTTCGAAGGCCTTATTGAGCCGGAAGACGACGCGCTCGCGCTCGCCGAAGCATCGCGCTACGTCCACGCGGCAGACTCGGATTTCTCAGACCAAGACGAGGACGAGGCGGATATGAGCCTCGACGACCCCGCAGTCGACCATACGGCGCATCTCGGGCGCGTATTCCCTCTTCCCCCACATGCTCAGGACGAGATGGCGGAGGAGGGGAGTCCCACGGTGCCGGCGCATAGTAGGCATTTGAGTCGACTTAGCTTGAGGAGCGTCGGTGGGGCGAGCGCGGAGTTCGGCGCGGGGTATAGCCATGATGGGGTTGGGAGGGAGAGGGGGCAAGAGGGGCGGGAGGAGGAGGTGGGCGAGGAGTGGACGGGGAGCGAGGATGTTAGTGAGGATGAGGTGAGCTTGCGTTTTGGTTGTTGGGTTCGAGTTGGGGTGTGGAGGAGGCGGGTGGAATCGGAGGGCACGCGCGCGGTGTGGCTTTGCCCCCGCTCCCGCTCGTGTGGTGCGCGCGTTACTCTGACAAGTCGAGCGCCTCGTGCACGCGACACCGCACCGCTCCTCATCTCGCGCGCATACCGCATACGGGCGCCTTACGTCTCCGCGGACACACACCCTACCTCTCCGCGCCTCGCCCTGCCCTGCCCCCCCCTCTTCTTCACCTCATCTTACCCTTCTCAATCGCGTGTATGAAAGCGCACATGCTGACCACGTTTTCTTGCTACAGGGCTCCATCGGCGAATGGTCCAACCCGTCCGACGAAGAGCGCGCGAGGCAGCAGCGCGCCGCGCGGCGTGCGCGGCGCGCGCATTCGGCTGTTCAGCCCCGG